GAAACAATGCTTGACCCCAAAGAGCACAGCTGCTGCAGCTCAGGGCCTGCCGCAGGTGCCTGGCTGGCAAACCCTCACCTAAGGAGTCCCCGCGGCACAGACGGCAGGTCTGTAATCTGAGAGGCGGGGACCACCTGATCTGGCCGCCGCGGGTTTTAGATCCGGAACGCCCAAGTCGCATTCTGTCCTGGAGGGCTCAGCCGGGAAGCCTCTACTGGAGACTCCGCTTTGGGGACAAGCCCTCGCTCTTCGGTCTGTCGGGCCCTTAGGAGGTCAAGGTGCTGACCCCATGTCTCCCCGCCCTTCCGCGTACCTGAGGCTCTCGGGGACAGCTGCTGCCCAGGGGAAACCCCAGGACTTAGTTTTCCCGACCACGAACCCTCCCTCCACCGACGGCCGCGCAGGCGCTCTCAGCTAGCCTCTGTTTTTCCCGTTGCCTGGAGACGGGAGAGCGTGGGCGCCCAGCCCCTCCTCGCCGCGAATTCCGCTGTGGGTGGGTGGGTGGGTGGGTGAGGCGTGCGCAAGCGCAGTCCGCACACCACCGGGCACCGCCCCGGGCGCGGGCGCGGTCCACCAAAGTGTCGCCTGACCCGGTGTCCCGCCAGCTCTGCAGCTCCGTCCAGCTCTGCCCTTAGGGGACGGGGGAATGGGGTGGGAGAGGCGGGGGGGGGGGGGGGGGGGGGGGTGAGGCGTGCGCAAGCGCAGTCCGCACACCACCGGGCACCGCCCCGGGCGCGGGCGCGGTCCACCAAAGTGTCGCCTGACCCGGTGTCCCGCCAGCTCTGCAGCTCCGTCCAGCTCTGCCCTTAGGGGACGGGGGAATGGGGTGGGAGAGGCTTTTCTGGGGCTCCATCAAAGAGCTTGGATTTTTCTCAGAGCGATGGTCTCAGATCCTGGGGTGTGACCCTTCTCTGGCAAAAGACGGAGCGCCTAGATGTGCCCTCAAGTCATTCTGCCGCAGGATTCCGGTGTCTGCCCCCTTAGCGGGAGTGGGCCTGCTGATAGCCTTTCTTAGCACGTTCGGCTGCCTTGTACGGGCCCCAGGTACGGCTGTATACTATCTCTCCATGCTTTTCCTCGCAAATAGTTTGGAGCTTGCGTCAAATTTTAGCAACTCGGCTAGGTTTTGCTACGCAGAAGGGGGGAAATTTTTGTAGCCAATCTAATTATTTTGATATAATGTTTTACTCTCACGTGGTAACTCTGGCCCTCTCTTCTTAGGGCCCAGGAGTGACTCAGACAAGTGTAATGATAATAAAGTTAACTACCAGATCGAAAATGCTCAGCATAACCTGGTTTCAACACTAAAGATACTCCATAACTTGCTAACATCAGAAGAGAGTTTATTTGTCTTCATACTTCAGTTCATTTGTGTAAGCTGTTTGGAACAGGCAGCTTACTTTTTCCCCTGTAACTACTTAAAAGATTCGTGCACATGGAAAATAATATAGACACAGCAGTGGTCGCTGTTAATACTTAAACATGTCATAATACAGCTTTTACATGTTATAAAGAAATGCCTTGGTGGTGCTCCAAGGCAGTCCTTTTTTGCCTTGTTTTCTTTCCTAGTTGACTCTCCACTGCCTTCTCTATGTATATGCATTTTCAGACATTTCCCACTCTTCTCAAGGTCCCAATTATCTCAGCATGGGGCTTGCCTGTCAACAACTCCAGAAGCTCCCCTCCAGCCTGGCAGAATTTCCCAGGCCTCCCTCCATGTTGACTTCTTTTCCTCTTGTTTATGAGGAAGAAGAATCTTTGTCTTTCCTTGAGTTCTCTTGACTTAGTCCCTTTCAGTACCCTCCAGGAATTGACTCACTTTACCCCTGCATCTTGTTAACTTCAAGTTATATCTATCCACACACGCTTCTGTGGTTTTAGAATATGCTTAACTTTGCCCTGCACAAAAAGCCTCATTTCCCTTGACCACACCTTTCACCTTAGGGTCCCATTCCTTTCTCCTCTTCTCCACTTCTTAATAGAAAACTTTACATTTCCTGCCCCCACTTCCTCAACTCCCCCTCATTGTCCAGTCCATTGTGGTCTGGTACCCCTCTGTCCGCGTTATTTAACTGCTAGGCTACCAGTGACGTTCCAATGACCCTAAAGACAAAAGCTGCTATTTCTGCAGCCTACTCATTTGACACTGATTTTTCTCTCCGTTGGAACTCTCTTCTCACTTGCTCCTGTCTGCCTTCTTGGTTTCTTCTTTCATGTCCTTGCATTTATGTCTTTTCCTCACCTGCCCCGCAAATGTAGGTGTTCTCCAAGGCCCTCGTATTTCTCATATAAAGGTAGTTTCAGACATTCTCTTCCTTAATGATTTCAGCCAAGTGCTGAAATCTCAGGTCTCACCTATGTTTAAATGATATCTAGCTTAGTTCTCTCTCCTTAATTACGGACTCAAATTTCCAAATTCCCATGTAGCACTTGCACATGAATGTTCCTCAGGAACCACAAACTCAATATGACAGAAAACGAAGTTGTGATCACCTCCGCATTCCCCAATCTACTGCTCCAGTGTTTCCTCTCATGCTGAAAGCATCAGTCATCTTCTACTCCTCCCACTTTGTCACCCCCTCTCTCTAACTGGTCAGCAGGCTCTGTTGAAGTTACTCTGCGATGTCTCTTATATATGTCCCCTCCTTTACATTTCTACAACCCTAGGTGAGTTTTTCCCTCACTTCTCACTGGGATGGCACCACTCTCCTAACTGCTATTCATCTGCTCCCCAAACCTATCCTTCTGGCTGCTGCCAGAATAATTATCCTGAATACTTCTGACCCCATAATTCTCCTGCCCAGTGGCTTCTTCTTTACCTATAGGATAAAGTTGAAATGTGTAACTTAGCATGGTATTTCAGCTTGCCAGATTAGGTTCAGCCTACATTTCCAGTCTTGCCTCCCCAGAGGCTAGCCCAGGGCATCTGAACCTTGGCTGTGCTTTAGGACTACCTGGAAAGCAATTTCTGGGAGTGAGGGCTGGGTATCAGTATTTTACAAAGCTTTCCCCAAGGTCCTAATGTGCAGCCAGGGTTGAGAAACCCTGGTCCAGCCACACCTGACTACTTGCACTTTCTTACTTCAGTGGCCTTACTCCAAGCTCCACATACTGGGAGGTGGCGGAGCATAGCATTCATGGGAGTAGGTTCTGTACTCAGACTGCTTGGAACTAAATCCCAGCTCCATCACTTACTGTTTGTGGTTGTGTAACCTTGGGTAATATGCTGGTTCCTCCAAGAATGCTTTCCCAGTCTTCCCAGACAGAATGAATCTCTTTGCTCCTTTGTGTTCTCATAATATTTTCTGTCCTTGTTATAGCACAGGGCTGGCTCATGATGAGCTCTCAGTGGATGCTTGTGGAATTGAATTAGCATGTTGTGCATTGTATTGTCATCATTTGCACGCATATTTGTCCCTTACACTAAATAAAAAACTCTTTGAGGGCAAAGATTATATACCATCCATCTTTGTATATCCTGCAGTGTATATACGTAGTAGATACTCAATAGGTTAATTCTACAGAGAAACTAGTTTTTAAAAAATAAATTTTAAATAACATCAGCCAGTTACTCTGTTCAGCATTATTTTCAAATATTACCAAGCATAACAGTTCAGTTCAGCTTCCCACCCCAAAGCCAGCACTGAGGTTATATGATTCTCCAGGATCTGGATCCTCACTTTGTAGTGGGGAGCTAATGGAATAATGAATCTCCATGGCTTCCATTGCAAATCCATTTCACCTTGCCAAGTCTGCCAACCTGGCATATTCACAGATGGAATCTTATGTTATGAAGGGATGTAAGGTACAGGAGCACTCCAAAGAGCAACAATAAACACCACAGTTTTCCTTCATACACATTCTTAATCTTAAGGGTATCTGTATTCAAATGCCTTCAAGGTGACCCTACTTTTTTTTTAAATTAATTTTTATTGGAGTATAGTTGCTTTACAGTGTTGTGTTAGTTTCTACTGTACAGCAAAATGAATCAGCTATACATATACATATGTCCCCTCTTTTTTGGATTTCCTTCCCATATAGGTCACCACAGTGCATTAAGTAGAGTCCCCTGTGCTATACAGTATGTTCTCATTAGTTATCTATAAGGTGACCCTATTTTTTTGTTGTTTTTGTTGTTGCGGTACGCGGGCCTCTCACTGTTGTGGCCTCTCCTGTTGTGGAGCACAGGCTCCGCACGCACAGCCTCAGTGGCCATGGCTCACGGGCCCAGCCGCTCCGCGGCATGTGGGATCCTCCCGGACCGGGGCACGAACCCGTGCCCCCTGCATCGGCAGGCGGACCCTCAACCACTGCGCCACCAGGGAAGCCCAAGGTGACCCTATTTTTAACAATCATCACCCACAACTCCCCTTGACAATTCCCTTCTCCCAAAAGAAATTCATGTAACTTGGTCACTTGGCTTAGATTGACTGATTCAGTTGTGATTATGGGTTATTTTGCTTGTGCTTGTGATTGATGGATTGATTGCTTTAGATAAGCATTGTTTGTAGTTTTCTTAGTAAGGTAGACTCTGGTGGGCCGCTTCCAGAATCACAGAGGGAGAAATGACCTCCACTGGGACCTCCTATACACTTGTCTCCAATTCCAGACTTAGGCATGACTCAGAATTGGAGGGGAGCTGAGAAAAAGGGCAGAAAAGTTGTATGTCTTCTATTTAATGTGTTTGTTTGTTTGTCTGTTTGTTTATGATGTTTAGTGTTTATCATCTGTCTCCATAATTTAATCTCCTCCGGTCCAGGGATCCTTTTTGTTCATTCACGTATGTCAACCACCTAGAAATGTGCCTGGCACACAGAGGCTCTCAGTAAGTATTTACAGAATGATTGGATTTATCTCAAGTGTTTCTTCGTCTTTGTCTTTATCCCCGCGAGAAAATGAAAAAAGGCGTGCTCTTAGTGACAGAGGTGGGGTGAGGGCTCGGAGTATAGAATCGTAGCCGAGACCCTGGACAGATCCCGCCCCCCCGCCAATCGGAGGCTCTGGAGCTACTAGACACTGGCGTCCCGAAATCCCACCCTCTGGGCGGGCTCTGGGCCGAGCGCTCCGTGCGTGATTGGCCGGCGGAGGGGATGGGCCTGAGAGACAGCGAAGGAGGAGCCGCGTTCTAAGCTACCGGGCGCGGCGGTTACGCAACCGGGGGAACAGTTGGCCTGCTGGTCTCCCGGGTAGTCCACCGGAGAGGAGGACGAGGAGATTGAGCCTGGGGCAGGGCCCCGGGGCGTGCTCATCAGTTCGATTAGCCCTAAAATATTAATAGGGCATTCTGGTGGGGGCGCGGAAGCCAGGTTTGCGTGGGAAGAGGGAGGGATGGAGAGGGAGCGGGACCGGGGATGGGTGTAGGGAGGTAACTGGATAAGCAGGTAATTGCCCCAAAGAGGCCTCTGTGGGCTCCCTTGCCCGGGTGTCCTCCTGTTAACTTCACACACCCGCGCTTACACGTGACCGCTTACTTACTCCGAAGTACTGGCATCTTAAGGTCAGGGAGAGGTCACAGTGGTTAACGATGGAGAGGTGTGTGTGTGACCCTTTCTGCCTCAGGATTGGGGGCCCGGGAATAGGATAATGAGTCCTTTGCTCTTCTGCTTTCATGGTCTCTGACAGGTCTGAGCGTGAGTATGGCAGAAGGGGACCCCCTGATATCAGTGGATTATGAAGTTTTTGGGAAAGTGCAAGGTGTGTTTTTCCGCAAGTACACTCAGGTATGTGGCTTACAGGCTTTGGGGACATACCTAGGGTATGAGCATGGGAACAAGAGACATGTTCCTGAAAAATATGCATTGGAGAAGCTTTCTGTTTGGTAGCTGGATGGCAAAGAGGTGGTTTGTAAAACAATGGGTATGAAAATGCTTTGCAGTGGGTAAAACACAATGCAAATGGAAAATTTGTCTACTGTTATTATTGGTCTTTTCTAACAGTGGTACTTGAGTACCTAGACACATATGGATGAGCTTCTCTTTTCCAAAGGGGAATAGAGGGCTTCCCCAGTTCTCCCTGTGTGGCATCATCAAACCAAGTCACAATTCTTGTAGGAAAGTTAACATTGATCAAAGAGATGGCATTTAAGTGAACTTGTGACATTTAATTGCTTCCTCTGCAGCTGCTGCATTTTCTTCAGACCTCTTTCCTTTTTCAACCTCTCCCATTCCCCTATGTAATTCCTTTCCGCTCATTTTAGCTTTTAAAGAACAATTACCTTTTCCAGGTGAAGCTTTTCTAATGAAAATATCCATTCCAGGGTAAGTAATGGTAACATTGAACATGAAGCCTGGTATTCCTATTTGATATTAGGGAGTAGTTGAGGGGATGAACAAACTATTGACAGCCTCTGTCTTAATATCACTAATCCTCCCTCAATGGGCACACACAGATGCAATCTCAGTTTGCCTTCTGCCTTCTATAGAGGGGTATCAGGCTATTGCCTTCCCAATGAATCTCCAACCCCAAAGATACTGAGTTAAGACTGCAGAACTTGCCAAGTGTCACATTCCTGGGACTGTGGTACTTAAAATTCAAATGTGAATCTTTGAAATATGAATGTTAAATATCACTACCTCTTTGTCCAATTACTTGCAAATCATTTTCTCCTGTTTCATGCTCATATATGAGTGCCTATTGGAAAAAAAGAATTACTGAAAGTCATAGCAAGAGCTATGTTCCAATTAGATTTGCTACTAATTATGTATGGTAAGTTCCTGTGATTTAGTAAATGGAGGTGGCAGCCTCAAAGATTAATTAAAGTTGTTGAGTGAAAAGGACCAGATGGCAGTATACTCCATCTTTCTCTACTGCGCCTCCCACCCCTCAATTTAAAGAGAGAATAAAAGAATGCAGAAAAACAGATATTGATTTGGAAAACTGCAAGGAAAATGTCATCCTTTTTTCCCCTTAATTAGACTTGTAGTTTATTCTTGACTACTTATAATCATTTTATTATATATGTTCATTTTAACAATTATTTTGTTTTGCTACAGTCTTTTTATGTGTTGATATCATCTAGCCTCTTAATTAAATTCCATCACTCCTAGAATGAGAGATGAGAATACTTGAAGGGATTTTTTTTTTTAAGTTGGAATATAATTCACATTCCATAAAATTCACCCTTTGGGGACTTCCCTGGTGGTCCAGTGGTTAAGAATCCACCTTCCAATGCAGGAGACATGGGTTCGATCCCTGGTCGGGGAACTAAGATGCTACGTGCTGCGGGGCAACTAAGCCCACTCGCCGCAACTACTGAGCCCATGCACCACAACCACAGAGCCCACGTGCTCTAGAGCCCGCACGCCACAACTAGAGAGAAGCCCGCGCACCACAACGAAGAGCCCCTATGCTGCAACAAAGATCCCACTTAAGGCAACTAAGACCCAACGTAGCCAAAAATAAATTAAATAAATAAATAAATAAATATTTTTTAAAAATCACCCTTTTAAAGTGTATAATACAGGTCTTCCCTGGTGGTGCAGTGGTTAAGAATCCGCCTGCCAATGCAGGGGACACAGGTTCGAGCTCTGGTCCGGGAAGATCCCACATGCTGCAGAGCAACTAAGCCCGTGCACTGCAACTACTGAGGCTGTGCTCTAAAGCCTGCGAGCCACAACTACCAAAGCCCTCGTGCCTAGAGCCCATGCTCCACAATAGGAGAAGCCACTGAAATGAGAAGCCTGCCCACCGCAATGAAGAGTAGCCCCTGCTCGCTGCAACTAGAGAAAGTCCACACGCAGCACCGAAGACCCAATGCAGCCAAAAAAAAATAACAATTAAATAAATAATAAATTTATTTTTTAAAAAGTGTATAATACAGTAGTTTTTTAGTATTCATAAAGATGTACACTAATTCCAGAATATTTTATCACCCCAAAGAGAAACCCCACACCCATTAGCACTCACTGTTCATCCCCCCAGCCCCTGGCAACCACTAACCTCATTTCTATCTCTATGGATTTGCCTATTCTGGACATTTAGTGTAAATGGAATCATACAATATGTGGCCTTTTGTGTTTGGCTTCTTTCACTTGACATGTTTTCAAGATTCATCCATGTTGTAGCTTATATCAGTACTTCATTTCTTTTTATGGCTGGGTAATGTTCCATTGTATGGGGAATTCCCTGGCAGTCCAGTGGTTAGGACTCGGCACTTTCACTGCCAGGGCCTGGGTTCAATCCCTGGTTGGGGAACTAAGATCCCACAAGCCTTGCAGTGTGGCCAAATAAATAAATAAATAAATAAATAAATAAATAAATAATTGTTAAAAAAAATATTCCACTGTATGGATATAACACATTGTATATATCCAATCATCAATTCATGGGCATTTAAGTTGTTTCTACTTTTTATCTGTTATAAATAATGATGCTGTGAACATTTATGTACCTGTTTTTATGTAAACATTGTTTTCAATTCCCTTGGGTATATATACCTAGGAGTAGATTGCTGGGTCACATGATAACTCCATGTATAACTTTTTGAGGAACTGCCAAAGCAGTTTTCCAAAGCAGCTGCACCATTTTACAGTCCCACTATCAATGCATGAGATTTCCAATTTCTCCCAATTGTCAGCAATTGTTATTGTCTGTCTTCTTTATTATAGCCATCCTGGTGAGTGTGAAGTGGTATCTCATTGTGGTTTTTTGTTGTTTTGTTTTGAGGTATCAATGAATTTTAAAGGATTTAAGTCATATGAAGCATGTTCTCCTATGACCATAATGAAACTAAACTGCCATCAATAACAGAAAACTGGAAAATTCCCAAACAGAAAACTGGAAAATTCCCAAATATTTGGAAACTATAGAACACATTTTTTTTAATTGTGGTAAAATATACATAATGTAAAATTTGCCATTTTAACCATTTTGAGTATACAGTTCAGTGACCTTAAGTACATTCATACTGTTGTGGTACCATCACCATCATCCATCCACAGAACTCTTTTCATCTTGCAAAGCTGAAACTCTGTACTCATTAAACAATAACTCCTGATTCCCCTTCCCTAGCCCCTGGCAGTTACAGTTCTACTGTCTCTATGAATTTGACTACTCTAGGTGTAACTCATATAAGTAGAATCATATAGTATTTCTTTTCTTTCCTGACTTGCTTATTTCACTAGCATAACATCCTTAAGAGTCATCCATGTTGTAGCATCTGTTCAAATTTCCTTCCTTTTTAAGGCTCTGTAATACTCTGGTGTATGTGTATACCCTCATTGTGGTTTTGTTTGCCTTCTAATGATTAATGATGTTGAACATCTTTTCATGTGCTTATTGGCACATGAAAGAAGATATTTCTTCTTTGGAGAAATGTCTCCAAATCCTTTGCCCATTTTTAAAAAATATATATTTATTTATTTTTGGCTGCTTTGGGTCTTAGTTGCTGCACGCAGGCTTTCTCTAGTTGTGGTGAGCAGGGGCTATTCTTTGTTGTGGTGCGCGGGCTTCTCATTGCGGTGGCTTTTCTTGTTGCAGAGCATGGGCTATAGGCGTGCGGGCTTCAGTAGTTGTGGCACGTGGGCTCAGTAGTTGTGGCTCGCAGGCTCTAGAGCACAGGCTCAGTAGTTGTGGCACATGGACTTCAGTAGTTGTGGCGCACAGGCTCCGCAGCATGTGGGATCTTCCCAGACCAGGGCTCGAACCCGTGTTCCCTGCATTGGCAGGCAGATTCTTAACCACTGTGCCACTAGGGAAGCCCTTTAATCCATCTTTATTGGAGTATAATTGCTTCACAATACCATGTTAGTTTCATTTGCACAACAAAGCGAATCAGCCACACCCATACACAGGTCCCCACATCCCCTCCCTCTTGAGCCTCCCTCCCATCCTCCCTATCCCAATCCTCTAGGTCATTGCAAAGCACTGAGCTGATCTCCCTGTGCTATGCTGCTGCTTCCCACCAGCCAACTATTTAACATTCCGTAGTGTATGTACGTCGATGTTACTCTCACTTCACCCCAGCTTTGCCCTCCCACCCCATGTCATCAAGTTCATTCTCTATGTCTACCTCTTTATTCCTGCCCTGCAACGAAATTCATCAGTACCATTTTTTTTTTTTAGATTCCATCTGTATGCGTTAGCATACGGTATTTGTTTTTCTCATTCTGATTTACTTCACTCTGTATGACAGACTCTAGGTCCATCCACCTCACTACAAATAACTCAATTTCATTTCTTTTTATGGCTGAGTAATATTCTATTGTATATATGTGCCACATCTATGGAAAACAGTATGGAGGTTCCTTAAAAAACTAAAAATAGAACTACCATATGATGTAGCAATCCCACTACTGGGCATATACCCTGAGAAAACCATAATTCAAAAGGAGTCGTGCACCACAGTGTTCATTGCAGCACTATTTACAATAGCCAGGACATGGAACCAACCTAAATGTCCATTGACATATCATGGGCAGTTTTTGATTACTAATTCAATCTCTTGTTATAGGTCTATTCAGATTTTCTATTTCTTCTTAATTCAGTTTCTGTAGTTTTTGAGTCTTTCTAGGTATCTGCTCTTTTAATCCAAGGTATCTAATTTGTTAGAATACAACTGTTCATATTATTCCCTTATTATCCTTTTTTTTTTTTTTGTAAGGTTGGTGGTAATGTCCCCTCTTTCATTTCTGATTTTAGTACTTTGAGCCTTCTCTCTTTTTTTTTATTGATCAGGCTAGCTTAAGGTTTGACAACTTTGTTGGTCTTTTTAAAGAATCAACTTTTGGTTTCATTTATTTTTTCTTTCTTCCTGCTTTCCTTTCTTCCTTTTTTTCTTTTTTCTATATCTGTTAACTCCTGCTCTAATCCTTATTTCCTTTTTTGTGCTTGTTTTGGATTCAGTTTGCTCTTCTCTTTCTAGTTTCCTAAGGTGGAAGTCTAGGTTATTGGTTTGAGGGTACTTTCTTCTTAGATTGAGACTAGAGTTGGTGATTATATTCGTTAAAATGTTTCCAGGGGCTTCCCTGGTGGCGCAGTGGTTGAGAGTCCGCCTGCCGATGCAGGGGACACGGGTTCGTGCCCCGGTCCGGGAGGATCCCACATGCCGCGGAGTGGCTGGGCCCGTGAGCCATGCCGCAACGGGAGAGGCCACAACAGTGAGAGGCCCGCGGACCGCAAAAAAAAAAAAAAAAAAAAAAAAAAAATGTTTCCAGATGACCATCCAAGCAGATGGTCCCTCATATTATTATGAGGGAGAATTAGCTTTTTGGAATTTTCTTAGGAGAAAACACTGCTTACTTGTTTAGTTATATATTCAAAACTGAACATGACTCAGCAACATTATGTTATCATTTAAAAATAAAAACAGGGACTTCCCTGATGGCACAGTGGATAAGACTCCGTGCTCCCAGTACAAGGGGTCTGGGTTCGATCCCTGGTCAGGAAACTAGATCCCACATTAATGCTACAACTAAGAGTTCGCATGCCACAACTAAGGAGCCGCACGTGGCAACGAAGATCCCGAGTGCCGCAACTAAGACCCAGAGCAGCCAAAAAAATTAAATTAAGTAAATATTTAAAAAAATAAAATAGGGCTTCCCTGGTGGATATATATATATATATATATATATATATATATATAAAATAAGAACAGAATCGAGTGCACAAATAAAACCCATACGAAAACCCCATTCTCAACACCAGTCAAAGTTGGGAGTGTTTTGTTCACTCTCAGAGTTCAGATAAATCATATTGCAATTTAAAATTTAAATAAATTAGTTTTGAGCAGTACTGTTATAACCTCCTGCTCAAAACTCAACACAATCATTCCTATAGCTAATTACCATGTAAGGTAACTAAGAACTAGGGATAGCCCATTCCCCTAGGTTAAAAGGAGTAGAAGAGTGCAGTTGTTACACAGTCAGCTGGATGTGGAGTCTTATTCAAATCCATTCTCTGCATTCTTTTTTAATGCCACAATCTACAACACTCAATCAAGCTGTAGGTGTCTCTTATTTTTCTTCATTCCTTAATTTCCTCTGTATCCTTTAAACTGTTATTTATTTGACCAAAGTCTCTTGTTCATTATGCAAACATGTCTTTGCTTTGAGCGTAACTGATTTGATGAATACTTCAGTTCCTCATCAAACATAGTTTTGCTATGCATAACATTTCCTTTGGCCAACTCCAGCAATTTCCCATATTTACTAGGTCGCTAGTCTGGCATTTGGACATGCAATCAAGTTAACTCCCGTTTTCTTTTGTAATCTAACCCCTTCTATTTAGATAGAATGTAACAATCAATAACTTTAATAATATCCTTAATTGGAGATTTTACAAAAATAAAATTGCCTCTAAAACATTGCTACGTTTCCCCAGTTTTCAGTCATTCCACAGTTAATGGTTTAAAGGAAAGAGCATTGGAAAGTCTAAGAGCAACTACAGTGATTAGATGATTTTCATAAGCTTATGCAACATTAAAGACATTGTGATTATTTAGACAGAAGAAGAAAGTCAAGTGAAAACAATAGTTAATGTAGTCTCATGAAACTTTGGTGTTTAGAGGCTGATCACCAGCTGCTTTTTCCTTCTCTAGGAGGATGAGAGAAAGTGGGTTTTGGATGCAACATAAAGACCTTGGGTTAGACAGTTTCTTGACAGTGAGAACAGTGGATTGCGTTGCCCAGGAAATTGTAAAATACTCTCTAATGATCTTTAAAGAGATATTGGACACTTAATCATCTGGATTTGTTTAGGTGTGGTCTTGGTTAAAGAAAAAAAGAAGGATCAAATAGCTTCATGCTTTTTCTATTTAACATACCCAGTAGATTCTTGATTAGGAGACGGAAAATGAACAGGATATACTCCAGTATCCTAACAGTCATCCTTAGGGAATCATTTTGAAAACATCTGATTTGGTCTTAAATCTTTAGTACTTAACCAAATTGACGACATAGTGAAAAATTCTGGTGCCTGGTTTTATAGGGTGGAAGAAGGAAATGGAGTCAAGTGGTCAACACTGCACGTTAAGATCAGCAGTGAGATTCTCCTTGCTGTAGTTCTGTTTTGACTGTTCTGGACAATATCAAATTAGTTTCAGTGGCTTGATTCTAGGCCAAGATTCTGGCAAGAGGTTATAGTCTAATTTTGTTTTGTTCAATCTCACTGGATTTCTCTCTCTTGCCTTTTTCTTTCCCTTAGGCTGAGGGTAAAAAGCTCGGATTAGTAGGCTGGGTCCAGAACACTGACCAGGGCACAGTGCAAGGACAATTGCAAGGTCCCACCTCCAAAGTACGTCATATGCAGGAATGGCTTGAGACAAGAGGAAGTCCCAAATCGCACATTGACAGAGCAAGCTTCAACAAAGAGAAAGTCATCTTAAAGTTGGATTACTCAGATTTCCAAATTGTGAAATAACGGTCTGAATTTAAATTTTCCAAGATACTGAGTGGTTTTGTTTTTTTATTTTTAATAGGGATAGAATTATTCTGTGTTCAATATTAGAATTTGTACATAAGTTATTTTAGTATCAGATATTTGATAGTTACTGTATATTATGTGTATGATGGAAGGATTACAACTGTACATAATTCTAATCAATAAAAACACAGAACCTTCCGTGTAGGATACTTATTTTCTTTTTGGTAAACTTCATTTTGGGCAAAATAAGAGGTATTTACTTAATAAACATCTTTGGGAAGAGAATTTTGGGGTAATTTAAAGAAGTCTGAAAGAAAAAGCAGTTACTTTTAATCATTTCTTTTTAATAGTTTCCATGAACTTTCCTTCAGGAAATTGTACCTAATAAGAACAAATACCACAAGTTCAATTTGTTAGCTGTTCAAATGATATTTTGGACTAATTGTTTTTTTTGTTTTTTTTTTTTTGTTTTTTTTTTTGCATTACGGGGGCCTCTCACTGTTGTGGCCTCTTCCGTTGCGGAGCACAGGCTCCGGACATGCAGGCTCAGCGGCCACGGCTCA